AACATTGATTGATTGATTGATTGAATTATAAGTTGTATTTCAAAACATAATTTGTAACTATAATTGATATATTTCAGATATTTTGTCAGAGTATTGGACTGCCAGAAAAAGCATCAAGACATCGCTTTGGAAATAGACGAAATAGGATCTCTATTTTATGCCCTTTGATAAACCAACGATAACGAATGGACCAGTTGGATGCTAGCAGTTGCAGGTCGAGTCTGAGTCTTGATAAAAGGAGACTTAGATGCAGGTAGTGGTGACGTGCACAGAGGAGGTCGTGCTGCTTCACACACCGAAGGGACTTTAAGGGTAAATAAGTTGCACCGTCTGCATGCGGCCACTAGAGAGTAGCACACACACACTGATCTCTCACACACACACACTGATCTCTCACACACACACTGATCTCTCACACACACACACACACACACACACACACACCACCACACCCACACACACACCACTCCTGACTTACTGTACAGCAGCAGCACAGCAGCCTCTCCGCTCTCACATTATTACACGTCTCTGCTTTAGATAACAAATACAAAAAGGCTCCTGATGAGGGCTCTGAAGCTGCATACAGTGAGCTGCACTGTAAGAAGGGGGAGGCGCAGAAACAGGGTGAGACGTGAGAGGGGGGAGGAAAGCCCTAATGAGGTCAGGAATGATGTAATGCTCGATCCTCCTCTCCTCCCACTTCCTAGTCTCTGGTTGCCTTTACTCCTAATGGCTCTCAGTCTTTGTGCATTATAGATATTTACGGCCCGTCCACACGGCGGCGTGCGTTGAAAGCTTCACCATTCACTTTGAATGGGGTGACGTCACTTTTCGCCGAACTGCATTGTGGGAAGCGACGCGGAGCTGAGCAACTTTTGAAGCCTCGGCAGAAGCGTCAGCCAATCGAATCATATGCCAGTACAAGCTCTAGCCAATCAAACCGCTGCTTGTGTGTCAGGGGCGGGAGATCCATGTGATTGGTTGTTGGTCGAGTTTCAGACACGCCCGCCGGGAAGCTTCAACGCACGCCGCTGTGGACGGGCCGCTCCAGTGAGTGTGAGGCACTCAGTACTGATATACGCCTGAAAACCTGCAGAATAGGGTCCCGCTAAGTGCGTCTCCTAATCAAAAGAAACGATGCCTCAGATTCCAATCAAAGAATCTTGTTTCTGTGGATTATAGATAATGACAGTGGCTGGAACTAATGTCTATGTTATCTGCTTGCATTCGTGTGTTTGTTTAATGGTGGATGTTTATCAGTGGGAGGTTAACCCTAACGCTTGTGTGTGGTTGATATGTAGAAGCTTTTAGACGATGGGTTAACGCTCCGTCCTCCTCCGGTTGCTTTTACCCCTAATGGGTCGCATGTCTATCGATGCATGCTCCCGTCAGAGCATGCATGTTCCCCTCCTCTGCATCTCAGCAGCCTTTTCTAGGAAGGACACTGCAGACGTGCATGCTCCATCTGCAGATGATTAGAGGAGTTCAGCTGAGGACACACTGCACATTACACAGTCTTTAAATACAGGATGAGGCTCCTCTCTGCAGCGAGGGAACACGCTCACGCTGAACTGTAATGTTATTAAAGCCCTCTTTGTTTCTGTGTGGGAGGTTTCGCTTTCTTAAAGAGGCCCTGTTGTGCTTTTCCCTTTCCTTCTATAGGTGTGCAAAGGCTCAAATCCTTTTTGTGCATTAAAGCATGGAAGTGTGTCGCAGTAGACGCACTAAATACTGGGTCCCTTTAATTGCGTTTCTTACTTAAAGTGGACCTATCATGCTATATTTGAAACAGACATTGTAGGGCCATACCTATAAAACATGCCTGTGAAGTTTTTTTCAAAATACCAAACAGATCCTGCATTTTAGCCTCATTTCGTTCTATTTGCTCTATTCCAGCCCTGTTTCTGCTTTTGTGAAAGACTACAGCGCCACCTACAGGCCTGGCATATGTACTACAGCGTCTCCAGCGCTTTCGAGCGGTCTCTCATTCCCCTGATAGGTGGAGAGTTGCCCATATAGGCGGCGCTCCTCTTTTCTGACGTCAGAAACATTCAAATTAATAATCAGATCCGTTGCAGCCCCGATTTTAGAGATTTGGGTTCGGCGGAAAAGAGAGAGGGTTGAGTTCCCTGACTCACCGGGGACACATGTTCATGTTCCAGTCCTGCCTCAAAACCCACCTCTTCAACTCTGTATATCCGGAAGCCCCCCCCCCCCTCTTAACCAACTTCCTCCTGACTGCTTTTCTGTTGTTGTTGTTTTATTGCCTGTCCTTGTTTGTCTACCCTTCCCCAAATGTAAAGCGTCTTTGGGTTCGAGAAAAGCGCTATAAAAATACAATTTATTATTATTATTAAAAGACGTACAAAAGTGCATTTAGCATGATAGGTTAAGAGAACAATTCATTGTGATTATGCTTCTGATATCTATTAAAGAATCCTGTTTTGTGGATTATAGATATTGAGAGTGGAGTTTTGTTAAAAAAGGAATATCAAAAGCTAAAGATATGAAGAGAAACTCTCCTGTCAGGATGTTTGAGAATAAGAACAAAATATTCCTTAATTAAACCTAAAATGTGACGCAAAGAGAACTAGCTTTCGACTTTCTCACGGTCGGGTGTTCTCGACTCAAATCTGGTATATTTAATTAACTAAATGTCGTTGTAGACTGAAGGTAAGAAGGAGCATCGACCATGAAACAGGAAGTGAGAGTGAGGGCGGGAAAAGCAGAACTGCAGTCGTCTCGGTGAGGTCAACAGAAACAAGTGGGGGAAAATCTAGCCTGAAAAACAGCTGATAAAGCAACTTTTAGAGGATGCAATACTGAGGTTGTGCAATATGTGAAGGTGGGATTACACGACGGGAGAGAAGCTGAAAACACGAGTACTTAGAAAGTAGAAATTATCTATTTTTCGCATAGTCGCTGAATCATTAAGGTCATTTTCAACAAAATGCTGACATTTTATACGATTTCAACTAGAAAGTCATTTTAGTTCCTTCTTTGTTGCTTGGATTTAGTTTGAGATGTCTCCATGCTCTAATGTTCAACAAGCTCTAATGCAGCACCTCTTTTCACCCTCTGTCTGAAACCAGAGCTGCTCTGATTGGTCAACCAGCTTAGAGATGTCCCGCCCCTTAGCCTATCACGTACAATGTGTTAAAGTGCTAGCCAATAAGAGCCACACACACACACACACACACACACACACAACACACACACACACACAACACACACACACACACACACCACACACACACACACACACACACACACACACACACACACACACACACACACACACACACACACACACACACACACACACACACACACACACACACACACACACACACACACACACACACACACACACACACACACACACACACACACACACACACACACACACACACACCTCTGTATCTCCATGGCAGCAGAGAGGACATGCAGCAGCATATGGCTCATCATTTTCTCTCTACTCTCCTGGGGGGAGGATCTACTCCTTTGTTCAGCAGCTCTTATTATCCACCCAATCACCTCCTCTTCCTCCTCCTCCTCCTCCTCCTCTTCCTCCTCCTCTTCCTCCTCCTCCTCCTCTATTTGTGTACCTAAGTGACCGAGCACATACTGTACACACATGCAGACGCAGAGAGCATGTCTGGGAAATGTTTCTATAGAAATGTGGAGGAGAGAAAGTCGTATTTATATCTGTTTTTCAGATCGTGTGTTGACGTCGGAGCTGAACCCCCCCCCCCTCTTCCTCCTCTCTTTCAGCGCCAGTTCTGACCCGAGCCCGGTGCCAAACGCAGCCAGGATCAAATGTCTGGATCTCCACGGGGAAACCGTCCAAATGTCACAGCTGTTTGAAGCCAGTGGATCGCTTCCCTCCAGCTCCTGCTGCCAGGATACACGCGAATAAGAAACACAGTGTTACTGCCACTTACTCTTGAGCTTCATATCAAGTGTGTCACACATCCTCATGGAGATCTTGTGTAAGAAGGCCATTTATTTTATACATATTAAACCCTATTAGGGCCAGGCGTAAGAAGAAGGGGGAGTTTCTTTGAGTTTTTTGTATTTACAAGATGACATTTTGAGGATAAGTTACAACTGTCAGTATTATAGCGAGGTATAGGAACTAGTAAATCAATTGCACGGCCTTAATACGGTGTTTGACAATACACACAAGTAAATGGGCTAGTGTGTGTGTGTGTGTGTGTGTGTGTGTGTGTGTGTGACCTCTGCAGCACCAACATCTGCTGCCTAACCCAGATCATCGAAGAGGAAGTGGAGCAGCACAGGAGGAAAGTTTAGCCACGAAGAGAAGGAGGTTACTGAATGAGTTTTGAGGGCAGCGTTTCAGAGGGGATGAAGAAGTAAACAAAAAGGAGACCCTCTCTCATATGCACTGAGACCCTGAGGATATCTAGACCTGACCACATTAAACAGACCTTACTAGACTAGTACAGTGGAGAAAATGATGATGATATTCCTACATCTGTCTGTATTATTGACAAACAATCTAAAAAAATGATTTCCCGTTTTTGACCACGTTCCGATACAGCTCTCTGACTGGAGTTATTTTAGGTATTTAAAATAAATATTTGGGACGAAACATGTGTCTATTAAAATAAGGCTTTTACAAAATGAACCTTAAACACTAGTTTGAGGTGCATAAAGATGATGTCTATGCATATAAAATAAGCAACGTATTGGATAGGGAAATACACTGAACACCAATCGAATGATGGCTTGATGTGATACTGGCTTGATATTGTAAACACATTTATAAAAACATATATACTTTTCTTTTTGCAACTAGTTCAATTTTATTCGTGGCTTTTTTTTTTTACTGCCTATCAAATGGTAAATGGACTGTACTTAGATCCAGTCTTCAAGACCCCTCAAAGCGCTTTCCATACTACATGTCATTCACACAGAGCATTGTACCTTACTCTAGGAACTAACATTCACACACCGTTGGCCATCCGGAGCAACTCAGGGTTAAGTATCTCGCCTCGACATGTTGGCTGCACGGGCTGGGAGCGAACCCACAACCTTCTGGTTGAAAGACGACCGCACTCCCTCGCAGCCACAGTCGCCCAAATAAACAATGTATTGGAAATAGAAATACACTGAATACAAATCAAATGATGGCTTAATGTGATCTTAATATATAATAGATCACGTTTTTTTGAGGCATTTTCTCCGCCTTTGCAACCGTTGACTTTCGACAGTGGCCTGTTGTAAAAATGGCATCATCAGCACCCTGAAGATATCTAGATCATACCCCAGGAACTGAAAGAAATGTTGCACCTAGATCAGAGGTTTTTTCAACCCTTAACTTATGACAGTAGCCTGTGGTGGAGAAGCAACTAAGGGAAAGTGCGTCACACCTGAGGATGTTTTTGTTTGTTGTTGTTTTGCTCTCACCTGCTCGGCGCGGTCGTATCCAGCGTCTTGTTTCTCCGTCTTCACCGTCGGATGCTTCCCTCCCTCCAGCTTCACCTCCCCCGCCTCCAGCTTCATCTTCTCCTTCCCTGCGGTGTCGTCCTTGTCCAGCAGGTATCTCAGCAGGGCGTTGTCCTTCTTCTTGGGGCTCAGAGGCTCTTGTTTCAGACCCATATCGGGCCCTGACCCCTGACCCCCAGCCCCCTGGTTCTGCTCCTGACCCGGCTCTTTGCCCGTTGCCTCTGCTGTGAGTTTGGCCAGGTCCACAGGGGACGTGCTGTTCTGCAGGAGCTGGTGCAGGATCTTGTGTTTCTCTTTTAGCGAAGAGGCGTGAGTGTTCGCTGCGTTTTGGCCCCCGCGGCCCTCTTTTCCCTCTCCCCCCGGGGACAAAGGGGTCTCCAGGGGCTCCGGTTTAGTCGTGAGAAGCTGTAGAAGCTTAGTGTGGCCTTTGTTGTCGTGAAGACGGTTCAGGGAGTCATCAGGGGCCCCTTCTCGCTCCTCTTTAGGCTCCATATTCGTCTCCTGACCCTCCATATTCGATCCGTATGACTCTCCTCCCAGTTTGGACATCAGATGAGAGCCCCCTCCCTGTGAGACCCCCACTGGAGAACCCATCTTTCTGTCTGGAGATTCCAGAGTGTGAGGGGCCCCGTGCCCCACCCCATGACACTCACTAAGGGCCTGAAGTGCAGAAAGAGAGCTGCTAGTGTAGCTGTTAGCATTGCCGCTGCTACCTGGGGGGCCCCCACACATGCCTACAGGTGAGGGGGAGTGAATACCCGCTACTCGAGGGCTCCCAGACCCCCCAGGACTGTTTCGATGCCTCGGGGACAACATAGAGTTCTGTTGAGGAGGATGTGGCCCTCCTGCTGGGCTCGGACTCGCTCTAGACGGACTGTTCATCCTCCAATTAGCCCCTTGTTGAGGTGGCTGCATGCCTCCAGTGTGATTGTGAGGAGGGGGGCACCCGAAACGATAGCTCTGCATGTGGCCCCCCATGGCAGGAGGCTCTCGAGGGCCAAGAGAGGAGAAAGGCGTGCTGCTGTTGCTGCTGATGGTGGTCTCCTGGCCCTGAGGCCCAGAACCAGGCAGGCTGCCGGGGGTCGGGGGGGTCATGGAGGGCGTGGAGGAGTTCATGGGTTTGGGGGCCATTCCTGGGGTCTGACCGATGTCCTGACCCATCCCACACACCGTCTGCTCCCTGAAGGGGACGCAATATCAAACGTAGAAAAGTTAAGTAACCGTTCATATATAATATCAATATTCACAATTAAAAAGCTGAATCTGAAGTGTTTTGTCCGGCAGGGGACACACAACTCATACGAAAGACACAATGTCCAACGTAGAAAAGTAAAGTAACCAGATAATATTCACGTTTAAAAAGCTGGAATCTGAGGTTTTTTTCATTGAAATTTAAACCAATGATCAAAACAGAAGGTGTTGATTTGAAGAGTTCCCAATGAACTGACCCTTATAGCTCTGATGTGAGTGAAATACCATGTACACCATTTGATGATACCCTTTTCCCTGAGACTAATAGCATCCACACATATAACCTCCCCGTGCTCTAGGGTGTGGACAGGATGCAGCATGTCTCCTCCTTCCAGCTGCAGATTTCCCCCACAATGCCACAGGTGAATGCATGCCATACCTCTGCAGGATGTGCAGCGACATGTAGAGCTGCGGCTCGTTGGTGGCCGGAGAGCGCACCAGTTTGCTCTTAGTGTGCGCCGACACGATGGTGCCGTCAGAGAGAGAGAAGCGGTAGATCGGACTGAAGGCCTGGCCGTGGCGCAGCACTGAGGACACACAAAACAGTTTTTACATGTGTATACTCAAACTTCACCCTATTCTGTATTGTTTAGGCTCTGATTTGAGTGTAAAAGTGTTTATTTGTGCAAGTTCAGCATGAATAAACGTTGCATTCACGCCATCATTTCCAACACTGTCCTTATTCCAGAGTGATTAAGTAAGGAGATGCACATAGAAAACTGTTTTGACTGAGAATGATTCATGCGTTTGTAGATAATTATGCCTATTTTGTAGTTTAGGCTCCGATTTGAGTTGAAAATTGCACATTTTGCAAGAAAAATCTGTTCAATATCGGTTAGTATGACTTTTTCAAACTCCGTAATCGTATACAAACACACGTTAATCTGCTTTAACGTCTTAAGTCACAAAAACATTTCCATGTCCTAAAACTACCAAAAAGGGTCCTTTAGGAAGGAGCCTTGTTTAATTGCATTAAAGGGTTTATTTCAATGGTTTTGTTGTACATTATTAGAAAGGATATGATGATATTGAGATATACATGTTGCCTAAAGTACAGATAATATTATTTATAAGCCATTGTTTACACCAGTGTTTCTCAAACTTTTTCATACCAAGGACCACTTAACCAATAAAAAAAACACTCGCGGACCACCTAACTCCAAAAACACATCGGTTTTCTAGAACAGATTACAAATCGCCTGAAAATGGTACAAACAAGTGGCAACATGTGTGATGAAGGTGTTGATCTGGGCTATATCATGCAATTGAAAGTGAGACTTAAGCTCGCTCCATTGCGGAGATATTCCCGCGAGAGTGCGGAAAACTTAAATTAATGAATTTATTTCAAATGTGAAATTTTACCAATATACTCACGGACCACTAGGGGGCACTCACGGACCACCAGTGGTCCGCGGACCACTAGGGGGCGCTCACGGACCACCAGTGGTCCGCGGACCACACTTTGAGAAGCACTGGTTTACACTAACGGAGTCGCTGTGACATCCTAGAGATGAGTGATTGTTACCTTCCTGCTGGTGCCTCTTGGCGAAGGACATCTCCCCGTCGTTCTGCAGGTGGAATCTCTGAATGCATCGCCGCACCAGATCCTCCCAGCCCGGCTTCATGGAGGCCCGCAGCAGACTGGTGTCCAGAGACGTGATCTTACCTGGAACACACACGGGGCGTTATCTTTGCTTTTTAATGTTTTTAAATGCCATTTTCTTAATATCTTTCATGTTTGTAAAGCACTTTGAATTGCCTTGTGTTGAAAGGAGCTATATAAATAAACTTTCGTTGCCTTAGTGACACACACAAGTAAATTATCTAAGTACTTCTTCCCCTTCTTACGCATGATTCACTAATTGTTACTGGATGGTGCTTTTATGTGAGTTAGTGTGTGTTTTCCTATGTGTGTGTGTGGTTGTGTGTGTGTGTGTGTGTGTGTGTGTGTGTGTGTGTGTGTGTGTGTGTGTGTGTGTGTGTGTGTGGTTGTGTGTGTGTGTGTGTACCTTGCAGGTCTTGGCGCGTGGTGAAACTCTCGTGAGTCGGCAGCACGAGTCTCTCTTTCATCGGCACTCGGCGAGCCACACAGATCAGACAGGACTGGAAATCTGAGAGGAGGAAGAGGAGGGGGGAGGAAGAGGAAGAGAGTGAGAAAGAAAATTAAACGCATGTTATTCCCATGCAGCGTAATTAATACAGTTATTAATGAGCACAGGGATCAGAGCTCCACTTCCTTCATGAAGAGGAGCAGCGAGGGAGATGATGGAGAGTGACCTTTGAAGGTGTGTGTGTGTGTTGACCTGCCTCAACTCACCTGCAGTGTCATCTCACACTGATGACACTTCCCCTGGCCCGACATTAAAGACAGCCATCGCTCAATCGTGACAGTAACATCTCTCTCACACACACAGATGACATCATGGGCAGGACTGGGTGACCCCGAAAAAGTCTGCCATCTAACTTTTACACACACACACACACACACACACACACACACACACACACACACACACACACACACACACACACACACACACACACACACACACACACACACACACACCACACACACACACACACACACACACACACACACACACACACACACACACACACACACACACACACACACACACACACACACACACACTTTTGACTCGTAAACACAGTCTCTTGGGTGGTCCGGCCTTTAGATCTGCTTTCCCTCCTTCCCGTCTACGGCTGGACAAATTCCTGCACTGGAACCACTGATCCTGGCTTACCCCACACCCACACACACAAACACACACTCTCTCACAACCCTGGCCCGTGTCCTAGTCAGTGTTTCTGCCAGAGTACGGCTGGCAGGCAGCTGGTGCTCAGAGGAAGCCAGAGAGAGGAAAGACAGGTTGAGCCTCTGAGAGAAACATTTACATTTTCACTGAAGTAGAGCTACTTCAAAAGAAAAGTATTATTTTTTATCATAAAATCGCGTTTTTTTGCACAGCTGTAGTTCCTTAACGGCCCGTCCACACAGCGGCGTGCGTTGAAGCTTGCCGGCGGGCGTGTCTGACACTCGACCAACAACCAATCACATAAATCTCCCGCCCCTGACACACAAGCACGCGGTTTGATTGGCTAGCGCTTGTACTGGCATATGATTCGATTGGCTGACGCCTCCGTCGAGGCGTCAAAAGTTGAACATTGCTCAACTTTTGAAGCGAGCAACGCCAGCAACGCTCCACGTCGCTTCCCAAAATGCAGTTCGGCTAAAAGTGACGTCACCCCATTCAAAGTGAATGGGCAGAAGCGTTGGAAGCTTCAACGCACGCCGCTGTGTGGACGGGCCGTTACAGCCCAACATTAGCCACCTTTAGCTTAGCGGTGGTGACGTGAAGTCATGTGACCGTGCTGTAGTTCCTTTATAGCCCAACATTAGCCTCCTTTAGCTTAGCGGTGGTGACGTGAAGTCATGTGACCGTGCTGTAGTTCCTTTATAGCCCAACATTAGCCGCCTTTAGCTTAGCGGTGGTGACGTGAAGTCATGTGACCGTGCTGTAGTTCCTTTATAGCCCAACATTAGCCTCCTTTAGCTTAGCGGTGGTGACGTGAAGTCATGTGACCGTGCTGTAGTTCCTTTATAGCCCAACATTAGCCGCCTTTAGCTTAGTGGTGGTGACGTGAAGTCATGTGACCGTGCTGTAGTTCCTTTATAGCCCAACATTAGCCGCCTTTAGCTTAGCGGTGGAGACGTGAAGTCATGTGACCGTGCTGTAGTTCCTTTATAGCCCAACATTAGCCGCCTTTAGCTTAGTGGTGGTGACGTGAAGTCATGTGACCGTGCTGTAGTTCCTTTATAGCCCAACATTAGCCGCCTTTAGCTTAGCGGTGGAGACGTGAAGTCATGTGACCGTGCTGTAGTTCCTTTATAGCCCAACATTAGCCGCCTTTAGCTTAGTGGTAGTGACGTGAAGTCATGTGACCGTGCTGTAGTTCCTTTATAGCCCAACATTAGCCGCCTTTAGCTTAGTGGTGGTGACGTGAAGTCATGTGACCGTGCTGTAGTTCATTTATAGCCCAACATTAGCCGCCTTTAGCTTAGCGGTGGTGACGTGAAGTCATGTGACCGTGCTGTAGTTCCTTTATAGCCCAACATTAGCCGCCTTTAGCTTAGCGGTGGTGACGTGAAGTCATGTGACCGTGCTGTAGTTCCTTTATAGCCCAACATTAGCCGCCTTTAGCTTAGCGGTGGTGACGTGAAGTCATGTGACCGTGCTGTAGTTCCTTTATAGCCCAACATTAGCCGCCTTTAGCTTAGCGGTGGTGACGTGAAGTCATGTGACCGTGCTGTAGTTCCTTTATAGCCCAACATTAGCCGCCTTTAGCTTAGCGGTGGTGACGTGAAGTCATGTGACCGTGCTGTAGTTCCTTTATAGCCCAACATTAGCCGCCTTTAGCTTAGCGGTGGTGACGTGAAGTCATGTGACCGGGCTGTAGTTCCTTTATAGCCCAACATTAGCCACCTTTAGCTTAGCGGTGGGGACGTGAAGTCATGTGACCGTGCTGTAGTTCCTTTATAGCCCAACATTAGCCGCCTTTAGCTTAGCGGTGGTGACGTGAAGTCATGTGACCGTGCTGTAGTTCCTTTATAGCCCAACATTAGCCGCCTTTAGCTTAGCGGTGGTGACGTGAAGTCATGTGACCGGGCTGTAGTTCCTTTATAGCCCAACATTAGCCTCCTTTAGCTTAGCGGTGGGGACGTGAAGTCATGTGACCGGGCTGTAGTTCCTTTATAGACTAAATGTAGTTTTTTACCTCAGAAATCATAAAGTGGTGTTAATATGTGGAGATTATCCTGCTGAACTAAACGTGTATCATAAATGTTGACATTATTTGGAGGAATCCTATTGGACCAGGGAGATGCTGCATTCAGGGGAAAAGACAGCAATACAACATCTCTTCACCCCTCTAGGTTATCAAGTGTTAAACACCATGATTACTATACATATGATGTGAATGGATGCAATTCACAGAGTTTCATCATATCTTCGTACCGTCTCCCTCCTCTTTGATGGACTTGGGCTCGGACACAGCGAAGCACTGCATGGTTTCGTATTTCTGCGTCTGAGGCTCGTGCTCCTGCGATTCCTCCGTGTTCTCACTGTGAGGATTCACCAACATCCGGCAGTTAAAGGTGTGGCTGTTCCTCCTGGGACCCTCGCTGGACCACGGGACGCCGTTCACTGCAGGAGGAAGGAACATTTCATATGAGAAGCTCAGGCACGTTGATTTATGAAGCACATTGTTTACTTCATCATTAACACTTAACAAGAAGACAACAGAAAGGAATAACAGATTCATGCGTAAAAGAGATTTAAACACAACATTGTGTGAGGAAGAGGAAGGAGTGTGAGGAAGAGGAAGAGCTGTTGCCGGGTAGAGTTCAGACGTAATGAGCATCACAGACAGGACTCCACATGCATGTCCTCTAAAACACCACACACACACACACACACACACACACACACACACACACACACACACACACACACACACACACACACACACACACACACACACACACACACACACACACACACACACACACACACACACAACACACACACACACACACACACACACACACACACACACACACACACACACACACACACACACACACACACACACACACACACACACACACACACACACACACACACACACACACACACACACACACACACACACACACACACACACACACACACACACACACACACACACACACACACACACACACACACACACGATTCAGAGCATTGATATTGTGCAGAATCTGGGACACTGTGATGATCGTTCAGGAGGAGCAGAGAGGCAGATGGAGAGCAAGCAGACCTCAATACAGAGGAAGGGGGGAGGAAGGGAAGAGGAGAGGAGATGAGGATGAGGAGACGAGGGAAGGAGGTAGAAGAAGGGAAGAGGACAAGCTGAGAGGAGGATGGGAGAGAGGATTGAGAAAGTAGAGGAGAGCAGAGGAAAGAAGAGAAGATAATTGGGAGAGGAAAGGAGACGAGGGAGGGGAGAGGAGATAAGAGGACGAGGAAAGGAGGTAGAGGAAGGGAAGATGAAGTGTTTTTATCAAACAAATTGGTTAATGTGAGAAGAAGAGAGATGTGTGTAGAGGACTAGAGCGAGGAAGATGGAGACACAGGTTCACCACATCCTCTACGTCACGTTTCAGTAATTTAATCAATCGTACGTCAGGATTAGTGAGTCTAACGAAGAGGTGAGGGTGTGAAGACGAGAGGTGTGTGTAGAGGACAGAAGGCAGGAAAAGGAAAGAGTCAGGAAGACGTCACGTTTCAGAGTTTAAATCAAACGTACGTCCCATTAATTGAGTCTAAGGAAGAGATGAAGGTGTCAGAAAGAGACGTGGAGACACAGACTGACGGAGGGAACACCTTAAAGCAGGGGTCTCAAACTCAAGGCCCGGGGGCCAAATCCGGCCCGCAACTTCATTTTATGTGGCCCCGCAAGAGCTAGCAAAGAATATAATACGTTTATTATACGGTTACAGGCCACTTTACAGAAGCAGGTTGCCCATAAACTACATGTCCCACAATGCATCTCGTTTTGTGACATGCACTGAAGAGACTTGCATTTATTTGACCTGGACTTCTGCTTTCAGACGTAGTTAATTACTAAGTTATGATCCTATCCGATAATAATCCAATTCAGAGGCAAAAATGTAATATAATTAGGGCTGTCAGTCGATTAAAATATTTAATCGCGATTAATCGCAAATTAATCGCACATTTTTGATCTGTTTTAAATGTACCTTAGAGGAATATTTTTCAAGTTTTTAATACTCTTATCAACACATGAGTGGACAAATATGCTTTATGCTAATTATCATTTGAACAATGACAAATATTCTGATGAATATTAAACACAACAACTTCTGAACATTACAAATATTCGCCTCAATTCAACCTGGAACCTAATACAATAAAAAATGGTGTGTGTGTGTGTGTGTGTGTGTGTGTGTGTGAGATGGATCGTTGGAGCTATGTGCAACTCAAGGCATATGCTCGAACCGGAGCTGCCTGGACGCTGCAATCATGTTGCACTATCCGTGCTGAGTGTGCTGACTTCTCGTACAATGTCCCACTGTCTGGCTTCCTGCATAAAGTCAAGTGCTCGGCGCAGTTGTGGCGAAATGTCGCTCCTCTGTTTTCATTTAAGCAGCTCCTTCTATCCATTAGCGCAGCTAGCTAGCACCAGATGCTAACAACAACAATGCACGTAAGGTCTCTCTCTCGCTCGGGCCACACATACACACACCCTCCCGGTCCTCCCAACAGCCAGTCGGTGCCTGCCGGTGAGCGTGGAAGTGTGGTCTGCCACAAGCGGGCGGCAGGAGCGGGGCTGTCAGCATCAGCTTGTAGATGGTATTTTAAACTCGATGCGCTCTGAAACTACGGGTCGGCCGAGGACAAAACATACACATGCGTTAATCGCGTTAAAATAATTAGTGCCGTTAATTTTTTTTTGCGTTATTAACGTGTAACTTGACAGCCCTAAATATAATACATTATTTTATATATATATATTATATATTTATATAGTTACAACCGGCCCTTTGAGTGCAACCTTGATGCGAATGTGGCCCGCGATGAAATAGAGTTTGACCCCCCTGACCTAAAGGGTTAAATGATAACAAAGCAGTGTTTCTGACCGAGGGATTTGGGCAGCAGGTTCTTGATGAACTCGGCGTGGTCTCCGACGTGCAGCACGCTGTACACGCTGGTGTTCATCAGCTCCTCCTGGTTGTAGCGCAGATACTGCGTCACGTTCTCAGACACGAACACGATGTTCCCCTCCATGTTCACCACGAAGAAGAAGCCATCCAGGGCCTGAGGGGAAGAGAGACAGGAGAGGCTTCATTAGTGGACTTTCAACACCAAAATATTATTTAGTTTTTATCTTATACAATGTTCATGAACTGTTAATAACAGAAGGGATGTTTCGTAACAGAGGCATCATTGACATCGTGAGGGACAATCCTGCAGGAGTAATAACAGTCGAACAAACAGGAAATTACAATATTTTGGTAATTAGACCAAGCAACCTTTCTCTTTTGGTGATAGAACTGGTTATCAGCTCATCAGTAGTTTATTAATTCTTTGAAATGTGGCCTTAAGATGGTTTTTCTTATAAGCAGTTATCAGAAAGCTTATTTTGACAGAAAAATTGAGAAAAAAGTACGAAAAGTAAGCCTCGTCCTGCTATGATAGTTTTCCCTTCATAAAAACCATTTCCTGAGCTTTGTTGAAAGCCAATATTCAAATTAACTGCAGATGTGTGTGTAAGTAATCACCTCCTTTTTCTACATCTTCTGTTTTCTGTATGGTTTCTTTTTAAGAGTTGCATATCTTGTAAACATATATTTTGTAATGGTTATATTTCTTAGTGAACAAGTGGTTTTTAAAAGCCATCCATGATATGCATTAGAGCTGCAGTGGTTAATAAATCAATTGACACAAAAAAAATCTAATATTTTAATAATTAATAGATGCTTAAGGTAATATTTAATTAAAACATGTCAGAAAATGCTATTTTGAGCTGCTTTGTGTCTGTTTTATATCATAAAGAGTGATTATTTTTGGTTTCAAAGACATTTCCTTAGACTTTCAGAAACACTTGATGGGCTTTATCACAATTCTATGACATGTTATACACAAAACGATGAATCGATTAAACCAGAAGATAAAACATTATTTTAATTTCCACTCTATTATTGGTAATTTTACAGCTCTTCTAAAAACCCTGCAGGAACTTCCTGTAAAACCCGGGATAATAATAACTCGTTTAGCACCACAACCTCATTTTTTACTTCATTAAAAAGGATTTCCAGGGCTCTTCAAATAGCCACGATTCCAGTTATTAATGAGGAAATGAAGGTAGGTGTGTGTGTGTGTGTGTGTGTGTGTGTGTGTGTGTGTGTGTGTGTGTGTGTGCGCGCGCGTGCGTGTCTCCTGGTTATCTTCTGAGAGGAAGCAGAAGTGTTGGTTATCCACAGGTTTAATTATTATTAGGTTGTTATATTTCCTGCAGGTTTCGCCAACTCAAATAATACTTTTTAAGACCACTTTGAATAGAATTTAAGACCTATTTCACGGCAAGAAAGTATGAAGGAAAATTGCTATGAAAGAAGAAATACGTCCCATAATTACTTACAAAGTAAATGTATTCACGTTCAACATAAGAACGATGACTGAACATAACAGCACACAGAACTGTGTTAGCGTGTCAGACAAAAAGTGTGCGCGTGTGTCTCTGTGTGTGTGTGTGTATGTATGAAACTATTTTCCATCTTCTCCACCCTCTTGGACCCTCCAAAAGCTCCTCCCCCCTCCTCACTTCTGTCAAGCGACTTTGTTACCCACTTTGAAAAAAAGGTTAATGATATTCGCTCTTCTTTTTCTGACTCACCTTTACTCACCGCTGGGTCACCAGACCTTCCTTCCACCAACACACTGACCTCCTTTTCCCCTCTCTCTCCAAGTGAGGTTCTTACCCTCATTACCTCTGCCCGCCCTACCACCTGTCCTCTGGACCCTATCCCTTCAAACCTCCTTCAGACTATCGCTCCTGATATTCTACCGTTTCTCACCCATTTCATCAACACTTCTCTAACTTCTGGTCACTTTCCAAACAGTCTCAAGGAGGCAAGAGTAAACCCTCTCCTAAAGAAACCCACTCTCAACCCGTCTGATGTTTATAAACTACAGGCCTGTCTCTCTCCTCCCGTTCCTGTCTAAAACACTTGAACGCGCTGTCTTTAAACAACTCTCCTGCTATCTCCATCAGAACAACCTTCTGGATCCGCACCAGTCTGGTTTCAAGGCAGGTCACTCCACAGAAACTGCTCTCATTGCTGTCACGGAGGAACTGCACACTGCCAAAACTGCATCCCTCTCCTCTGTCATCATCCTGTTGGACCTGTCTGCTGCATTCGACACGGTGAATCATCAGATCCTCCTTCGCACTCTCCAAAAACTTGGAGTTTCTGGCTCTGCACTTTCCCTCCTCACCTCATACCTGAAAGACCGTACCTACAGGGTGACTTGGAGAGGGTCTGAGTCCGACCCTTGTCAATTAACTACGGGGGTCCCTCAGGGCTCTGTTCTTGGTCCCCTCCTCTTCTCCTTGTACACAAACTCGCTCGGATCAGTCATTAGCCCGCATGGTTTTTCTTACCACTGCTACGCTAACGACACCCAATTAATTCTGTCCTTTCCCCGCTCAGAGACCCAGGTCGTCGCACGCATCTCTGCTTGTCTAGCTGACATCTCTCAGTGGATGTCTGCTCACCACCTCAAACTCAACCTTGACAAGACTGAGCTGCTCTTCCTCCCGGGAAAAGATTGTCCAACTCTTGACCTGACAATCAACATCGGCACCTCAGTTGTTTCCCCGACTCAGACTGCAAGGAATCTGGGTGTGACCCTAGATAACAACCTGTCCTTCACTGCAAACATCGCTGCTACAACCCGCTGCTGCAGATACACGCTTTACAACATCAGGAAGATACGTCCCCAGCTGACTCAGAAAGCGACTCAGGTTCTGGTCCAGGCTCTCGTCATCTCACGCCTAGACTACTGCAACTCCCTCCTGGCTGGTCTACCTGCATGTGCCATCCGACCTCTGCAGCTCATCCAGAATGCAGCGGCTCGTCTGGTCTTCAACCTTCCTAAATGTTCCCACACCACTCCGCTCCTCCGCTCGCTTCACTGGCTTCCGGTAACTGCTAGAATCCACTTCAAGACACTGGTACTTGCTTACCGTGCTGCGAATGGATCTGGCCCTTCCTACATCCAGGACATGGTTAAACCGTACACCCCAGCGCGTGCACTACGCTCTGCATCAGCCAAACGACTCGTTGCGCCCTCGCTGCGAGGGGGACCCAAGTTCCCATCGGCGAAAACACGTGGGTTTGCTATCCTGGCTCCAAGATGGTGGAATGAGCTCCCCATTGACATCAGGACGGCAGATACCTTGCACATCTTCCGGCGCAGACTGAAAACTCATCTCTTTCGACTCCACTTCGAGCGTTAGAACTATTAAACAAAGCACTTTTATACTAATAAAGGACCTGGAGTATCTAAAGCCAGTTGAGTAGCACTTGAAATGTTTGGCTCTATGAAACCTGATATACTTATATGATTCTGTTTTCTTCAAGGTTGTGTCTTCCTGGTCGAATGTACTTATTGTAAGTCGCTTTGGACAAAAGCGTCAGCTAAATGCAATGTAATGTAATGTGTGTGTGTGTGTGTGTGTGTGTGCGTGTATCTACGGTATTGAGCGTCCACAGCACCTCCGCTTTTAGGGTTGACGTAGACCCAAACGTCGCCCGGAGGTCCCCCGATGTTGTTGCGGGTGCTGCTCCGGGAGCTAACGCTGCACTAGCTAACGCCGCATTAACGCTGCACTAGCATTAGCTAACGCTGCACTAGCATTAGCTAACGCTGCACTAGCATTAGCTAACGCTGCACTAGCATAACGCTGCACTAGCATTAGCTAACGCTGCACTAGCATTAGCTAACGCTGCACTAGCATTAGCTAACGCTGCACTAGCATTAGCTAACGCTGCACTAGCATTAGCTAACGCTGCATTAGCTAACGCTGCACTAGCATTAGCTAACGCTGCACTAGCATTAGCTAACGCTGCATTAGCTAACGCTGCACTAGCATTAGCTAACGCTGCATTAGCTAACGCTGCACTAGCATTAGCTAACGCTGCATTAGCTAACGCTGCATTAGCTAACGCTGCACTAGCATTAGCTGCACTAGCATTAGCTAACGCTGCACTAGCATTAGCTAACGCTGCACTAGCTAACGCTGCACTAGCATTAGCTAACGCTGCATTAGCTAACGCTGCATTAGCTAACGCTGCATTAGCTAACGCTGCACTAGCATTAGCTAACGCTGCATTAGCTAACGCTGCACTAGCATTAGCTAACGCTGCATTAGCTAACGCTGCACTAGCATTAGCTAACGCTGCATTAGCTAACGCTGCATTAGCTAACGCTGCAGTTTTCTAGGCCATTAGCTGCACTAGCATTAGCTACGCTGCACTAGCATTAGCTAACGCTGCACTAGCATTAGCTAACGCTGCACTAGCATTAGCTAACGCTGCATTAGCTAACGCTGCACTAGCATTAGCTAACGCTGCATTAGCTAACGCTGCATTAGCTAACGCTGCATTAGCATTAGCTAACGCTGCACTAGCATTAGCTAACGCTGCACTAGCATTAGCTAACGCTGCACTAGCATTAGCTAACGCTGCATTAGCTAACGCTGCACTAGCATTAGCTAACGCTGCACTAGCATTAGCTGCACTAGCATTAGCTAACGCTGCACTAGCATTAGCTAACGCTGCACTAGCTAACGCTGCATTAGCTAACGCTGCATTAGCTAACGCTGCATTAGCTAACGCTGCACTAGCATTAGCTAACGCTGCACTAGCATTAGCTAACGCTGCACTAGCATTAGCTAACGCTGCACTAGCATTAGCTAACGCTGCATTAGCTAACGCTGCGCTAGCATTAGCTAACGCTGCACTAGCAAACGCTGCACTAGCAAACGCTGCACTAGCATTAGCTAACGCTGCACTAGCATTAGCTAACGCTGCACTAGCATTAGCTAACGCTGCACTAGCATTAGCTAACGCTGCACTAGCATTAGCTAACGCTGCACTAGCATTAGCTAACGCTGCACTAGCATTAGCTAACGCTGCACTAACGCTAATTTTGTTTGCAAAAGGTGCAGCGGGCTTCAAACACGTTCCCCTCCACTGGTTTCAACCAAGCACGAAATGGATGATTTCCAACCAAATACGGTTGAACTTAAAACTTCCCCATATTTATTTGTAAAGTTTTAAAGCCTTAAATTCAGATTATCAAATGTAAGACTTTTTAAGACCCCGCGGGAACCCTGTATTTAGTGGTAACACTTGGGCATTAGTTGCGTGTAGATTATTTAACGTGCACATGCACTACTAACCTTTTTGCACATATGTATGTTATATAGTGTAGTTTTTTTATTGGACATTTGACTTCCTAACATGTTTAGATTTTAATACATACTTTTTTTTGATCTTTTCATGCTTGTATAAATCATTTTAACTCCCTATTTATATATACATGTCTTTATTTAATGGCACATTCTTACCTTAAAAATCGTACATTTATATACATATTTTGTATCTATTCTATTTTAATGTATCACTAATTGGATCTTTAACTTAATATATTGTATAAATATTTATATTTATTTTTCATGTAATTTCCCTTTAAATATTTTTATTTGAACTCCTTTTTTAATATAAATATCTTTGTTTACTTTTTTTATATATTGCACATTGATACCTTTCAATTGTTGTCATTTTAAAATTTAGCAATTTTCATAAAAACCACATTTCACTTTTTAACTCAAGTATTCTGATTCTGAAGGTGGCAGCACATGGAGGTGGGGGGTGTCCATCTATCAGTGTGTGAGGAGGAGGAGGAGGAGGAGGAGGAGGAGGAGGAGGAGGAGGAGGAAGAGTTAATTGAAAAAATACAGCCTCAGGTCGGCCATTACACACAGGATGGTGGCAATTAGGCCATCTAATCACCTAGATCGTTAAAAGGGATTCTGTCGGCTGTAAATCTGTGAAGTGTTGAGATAAGAGACTGCTGCTGCTCTTCCTGCTGGAATAACATCTAGAAACAGGTTTGAATCACATGCATTTATGTAGTTCTTTATAGGGAAGCATTGATTTATCTGCAACACATCTGTATTTACCTCAATTGGTGCCATCGGTAATCAGTAAATAGGATTATAATTAAGTGCTCTCTAAATGCTGTGTGGGTTTTTTGCAATGCACACAACTTTGGTAAGTAGTAAGAAGAGATGAGTGGTTTGTGCATGAATTAAAAAGATAGAAAAAGTCTGTTTGGGGTAATTTTAGTGACAATAAAATGGCCAATATATGCGTCTACCTGCTTGTTAAATCTCATGCACGTCAAACTAAACTAACATTGGTCTTGTGTTGTAAATATAGAAACATTCTGGTCATTCAGTGGAAGAATAAGGTCTCAACATATGACCAAACTATTCATTCATTAATCAATTAACTTATCAAAGGACTAACTGACCGAGACAGATAAGATACTACTTTATTGATCTCTTCTTAGCTGTATTGGTCAGTTAGTCCTTTGATAAGTTAATTCATGCTTTAGTCATCACTAATGTGTTGTTTTGTATATAATAATGAAACTCTGGCATCATATCAACACTAGTATTGTAACAAATCACAACATCCAGACATGTGTGGTTTGTTTACACAGGAACAAGATAGAAAAAGTCTGTTTGGGGTAATTTTAGTGACAATAAAATGGCAAATATACATTTCTCACTGCTTGTATATTCAAGTGTATTTATTTTCTTTTTCATTCAGTGGAAGAAAAAGGTCTCTGAACATATGACCAAACTATTAATTGATTAATCAATGAACTTTTCAAAGTTGTCAGACAGCTGTAAGTTTCCGCTCCTTATATGTAAATAATGTTTTAATTTTGTATTTCTCTTCTATTTTTTTTGTATTTACTATTTTAACTATTGTATTGTGTTGCTCTGCTGGAGGAGCCTGTGACCTCATATCTACACTGTAGCTATGTACACATGACCATAGACTCCTTGAATCCAGCCCCAAAAACAGGCCTTCCCCCCCGAGGGTTAAAACAGCAGCACGTTAATGTTTGTGCATGAAAACGGCAGCGAATCGGGCGAGTTTCCTGGCGGACGATGTTTTTTGGGGGCTGCTGACAGATGGGAAAGCATGCTGGCTGCGAGGGGCTATATTTAGCCGCCAGTTAGTGTGTGGATTCAGTGACGCTGGACCAGGAGAGCTATAAATATTCCATGACAGGACAGATCTGGAGGCGAATGAAGAGAAGATGTGGAGAGAGAGAGAGAGGGGGGGGGGGAGAGAGAGAGACTCAATGGACTGATTCATTCTCAGGCTGTTGCTCTCGGTCCCGTTAGACGTAGATACTTCAGCTGCAACCAGGCCACGCTGACACACACACACACACAGTATTTTTGTAACTCTGGCACAACAGTTTCCTTCGAGATAAATAGTATAATAGATAATAAGTCCTATCTTATATGTTGATATCTCTGTGTGTGTGTGTGTGTGTGTGTGTGTGTGTACCGTATTGACCCGAATATAAGACGACCCCTCTTTTTGAAAAGTTGAGAATAAATATATACAAATTATCTTTTGGAATCAACAAAAAATGATCGTCATTTTAAATGAATGTTCTGGTTGTTTTCTCCATGAATTCATTTGGGTCAATACCAGAGGTGTGGACTCGAGTCAGATGACTTGGACTCGAGTCAGATGACTTGGACTCGAGTCAGACTCGAGTCACACATTTTATGACTTGAGACTCGACTTGACAACATCACAAAAGACTTGCGCCTCGACTTGGACTTGAACACCAATGACTCGGGACTTGACTTGGACTTGAGCCTTCTGACTTGAGGTGATTGCTACTTTAATTCAGAGGTCTCCAACACGCCGATCGCGAGCTGCCGCTAGAAGAGCAGACTCCCGTCGGGGAGAGCAGAATCTTCAGCCGCTCCTACTCTTGCTGAGAATCCTTGCAGGCAGGGGCGGGTCTTTATTTAGCTGGGCCACCATGCGGCCAATCATATGCGAGGACACACTAGGATCATACCATTATGTGAAAGAAGGGTGGGGGGCACAGCATGTGTAGTGGTACAGGCCAGCTGCACAGAGCGATGGGGAGCTGGATTTAAATGCAAGCGCGTCGGAAAAAGTCAAGAAATGAGCGAAAACCGAAAAAATTAGCAGCATCTGGCTGCTTTTCAATGATATTGGAGAAAGCAAAGCTGAGTGCAGGATCTGTAAAATGAAAATAATCTTCAGAGCAGGGTTTGTTTTTGGTAACCACTCAGGATTTATTGTCAGAGGTGGGAGAAGTTCAGACAATTAAAAAAAGTTACAATCAGGGTTCCCGCGGGGTCTTAACAAGTCTTAAAAAGTCTTACATTTGATAATCAGAATTGAAGGCCTTAAAAAGGTCTTAAATATGATTCAGAAGGTCTTAAAAATTATCGGATTTGAAAGGTACTTCTGTGTTGCGATAGCGTCTAAATGTATATTGGGGGAAATGTCCGGGCTGCAAAGTAACCAGTGCGGTAATAGCCTTTCAGTTCCCCCCAACAATTTGTATTGAATTAAATCAACATGGAACCAGTAATCACTAACTTGTTTCCCCCGGCCCCTTATTGGAGAACACCCAGCTAGTAACCTAGCAACCAAGCTTCAGCTCATGTAGCCTATCTTCGAATCTACTTACAAATAAATATGGGGAAGTGTAAGTTCAACCGTATTTGGTTGGAAAACATCTAATTTAGTGCTTGGTTGAAACCAGTGGAGGGAACGTGTTTGAAGCCCGCTGCACCTTTTGCCAAATAAATTAGTGTTTGTTTTGCTAATGTAGCGTTAGCTAGTGCTAATGCAGCGTTAGCTAGTGCAGCGTTAGCTAATGCAGCGTTAGCTAGTGCAGCGTTAGCTAGTGCAGCGTTAGCTAATGTAGCGTTAGCTAATGTAGCGTTAGCTAGTGCAGCGTTAGCTAATGTAGCGTTAGCTAATGCAGCAGCTCCCGCAACAACACCGGGGGACCTCCGGGTAACGTTTGGGTCTATGTCAACCCTAAAAGCGGAGGTGCTGTAGACGCTAAATACCGCAGCTAAACACCAATCATACAACAGCAATGATGAAATAGTGTAGCCAAGGCAGCAGAGCTCTGAATATAGCCACACACACACACACACACACACACACACACACACACACACACACACACACACACACACACACACACACACACACACACACACACACACACACACACACACACACACACACACACACACACACACACACACACACACACACACACACACACACACACACACACACACACACACACACACACACACACACACACACACACACACACCTCGATTATGGCAATAATCAAGATTATGTTGGTCAATAATTAATATCACGATTATTAAATATGATTATTCATTGACTTTGAAAACATCCATTTATTGAACTTTAAAACAAATAATAATTTGAACAGTATCTTTTTAACTGTTGATTACCCTGAACGTATAATTCAACTGAAAAACTAATACAAAAATTAATTAAATAAATAATATCAAAATAATAAATACCAATAAACAAGATCAACAAATATTTTAGAGCGCACTTCCACAAGCTACTAAACATATATAAATATGATAAATAAAAACAAATTAGACTAAAATGAAATAGATCAAATATGTTGTGGTGCCTAGCAAACCTAGCAAAGCAAAATAATCGTTTTTTCCAATTATGTTGTTTTCGTAATTGTGGCAGGCCAAAATCGTAATTGCGATTAAAATATGATTAATTGCACAGCCCTAACACACACACACACACACGCACACACACACACTCAAGCACACATACACACTTTTTGTCTAACACAGTTCTGTACTGTTACGCTGTTGTGTTCAGTCACTGTTCTTATGTTGAACATGAATACATTTACTTTGTAAGTGATTATGGGACGTATTTCTTCTTTATATACATTTTCCTTCATACTTTATTGCCGTGAAATAGGTCTTAAATTCTATTCAAAGTGGTCTTAAAAAGGTGTTAAAAGGTCTTAAATTTGAGTTGGCGAAACCTGCAGGAACCCTGTACAATAAAAAGTCCTGCATTCAAAATGTTACAAGTAAAAGTACAAAAGTATTAGCATCAAAATATAGTTAAAGTACCACCTGCAGAGGGATCTAGATGCAGGTGTTCTTTATAGAGACGCCTCGCTGCACATTATCCCTTGCATACAGATAGATTGTGGGTCCCTTACAACATGTTGTACACAGTGGAAATAAACATTCTGGTCACCTCAACATCAGGGATCTTATCCATTAAACTCCTTCTGAATCAAACCGTCACGGTAGCCTCACCTTACTGATCCCTCTTAAATTAGAAAAACACACGTTACTTTACCAGCGGAGAGAAAATGGATTATTAAATTATTAATGAGACTAATTAAGAGCTGTTTGATTATTAAGTATTATTCTGTTGATCGATGTCATTACATTTGGTGAAAAACACATAATGACTTGTTTAAGACTCGTTTTGTCAAAGTTTAGGACTTGACTTGAACTTGCCCAACCTGACTTAAGACTTGACTTGGACTTGAGCGCAAAGACTTGAGACTTGACTCGGACTTGAGCGCAAAGACTTGAGACTTGACTCGGACTTGCAAAACAATGACTTGGTCCCACCTCTGGTCAATACGGTATATATGTATGAATAACAAAGGGAGAAACCCACCTCCAGCATCATTGGTCCCAGGGCATCTTTGTCGATGACGCTCTGCCCCGTCGAGGAAACGTCGGCCTTCTGAACCTCCTCCTCATTGGCTGCTGCAGCTTTCTCTGCACACAGGAAGTGACAAACATGACATACTTTAAATACCTTCTCAGTGAGAGGGAACAAAACAAGCAGGTCAGACAGAGAGAGGGGAGGAAGCTGACCCACATACTCCGAAAGAGGAGAGAAGACTTGGAGCAAGGATACTTTGTCCTTTTTCCTATAAAAACATGTTGCTCAAAACCAAGAAGCAGAGTAAAGGTTGTTGAGCATGAGTCATTGCATCGTCATGGGCAAAAAAGCTCTGACAGTGTGTAATCAACCAATCAGCGACAAGTGGTTAACATGTGGTCAAGTGGGAGAGGTGGAGGTCAGAAATATTAACTAAAAAGCTCATTTTCTTATTTTAATTGACTATTTTTGATGTATTTTTCACATTTGGAAAAACAATTAAAGGATATATACAAGAAGCTTTTTCCACTTGAAGTAAACAAAGCATTAAATAAAGGAATACATTAAATATAATATTACTTGTTCTGCCTTTAAGAGTCTCCTTTCTCTCCTAAAATCCTACTTTTAAGAGATTGATTTAAGACATTTTAACACCCTCAAATAATGTCTGCTTGTATTGAAATGTGTGTTTCTTGTCTTACTATGCGTGTCCTCGTTGAAATGGAGCGATGCAAGACGAACATCAGACTTAAAAAGGTAT